AATCTTTAAAACGAGATAAATTATTGACAAACAATTTGATGAAACAAGAATATCAGCAGTTTTGTTTATAGTCATCAATTCATAAGTTCTATGTTCGATACAATGACCTTAAGTTCTATGGTCGATACAATGACCTTGTCAGCAAATACAATTTATCATTGACTCAAATGCTGACTGATGTTTTGCATACTAATTGTTAGTTCATTATTTATGCACTGAATTGACGACAAATGTTCCGTTATTTCCCGATCATGACAAGGAGCACATAGTTGGTATGACCGGTCCGAAGGGGATGTTTACTCATCCATGGCATCTGATCCCAACTTTGATTATATATAGATTCGTGTTTGCTCTTTTCCTATTTTGTATTGTTTTATGGACTTAAGATTTTGTATACAGTTCCTTATCTCCATATGATTCATCATAAGAACTTAAAAGATGTATATAAAAATGACTTTTAATAATAGACAAATCTTGCATCTAATATCTATAAATAGAATAAAATAAGTACATGTAAATAAAATGTTACGCATGTTTAATATAGTACATTTACGGTATAATTTTTTTCCCCCAAAAAATCCTTTAATCAGTTTAAGAGATTTTTTACACTTCTATACATGTCTATCGAAACGAAATACTATAAAATTGATGTGCTTAATTATAATGCATAGAGGTCTTTTTCCTACTTGATACTTGTAAGCGCAAAGTGGCTGTTTTTATACCCTCGCTTGAAAAGTGGGAGGATATATAGTAATCGGTATGTCTGTCCGTCCGTCTGTTATGCTTTTGGGGTACCCATCTCTTATCCGCAACTCCGCTCATACTACAGAAGGAAATTTAATGAAACTTCCAAAGAATCTTTATAACATATTATCATTGTGCACCTCTTATCTTACTTTTTGATCTGACATACATTTTGGATTTTCAAGAGCAAAACATGGACACTGCCATTATATTCATATGGGAGGCGGGGGGGGGGGGTATCATTTAGTGAGCTCATTGCTCACAGTACCTCTAGTTAATAATTTGTCTCAGTACATGATATATCGATATATTGAAATTTTTTTTTTATAACTTATTGTTTATCTTGTCTTATTATATTATGTTTATAAATGGCAAAGATGTTTAGTAAATAAGCTCACATAATTTCAATTGAATTTTTATGGCTACAATTACAAAAATTCTCTTTTCCAGAAAGTTTTAAATAAGTTAGTTTTTTGTGTTACTTCAGATCTGTTCTATGTTCCCTGATGATATATTGTTAATCTGTCTTTGGTTTTTCAAAATGAATAGTCCTCTACAAGAAATAAATCTTGATAACCCTCTTAGATGCTTTAAGAGGGACCCTTTAGATAGCCCTTGGTCACATGACTAATATAGGTTGGTTTTGCAAATAAATTATAAAATATGAAGGGGGAAACATTACTAGACTAAACTAAAAGAAAATATTTGAAATTCATCATAGGCTGAAAATCAGCCTTATCGAAATCCTACCTTTAGACAAGCTCCCTTTTGATCTTAATCTCACCTTTCCACTATATATCCCTTTGGTAAATTTGAGACTGAGATCAAAAGTGAGCTTGTCTAAGTTTTATTGCCCCCAGGCCTGATCCCACCGCCGATGTTTCGGAGGTCCGTGATTGCTTTTTTCCTTCTTTATACCATTTTATGGAATTTTGAGCTTGAACGATACGTTATATTTCATTTTTTTGTGAACAAAGAGATTATATCTTAATATAATAATTGTGCAAATAATTACTGACAGGCTTAGTACATTGTATATTTACGAGTTTTTATTGAAAAATAACTGCCTTTGATGTCAAAAACGTCGCGACTTTAATTTATCGCCGAGGATTGTTGTATAAAATGCGAAAAAGCCGTAAGTTTTGATTTTATTGACTTTGATAAAATGTTGTGATTTCAAGTTATCTAAAAGTTCATTAAAGGAAAAAAATCTTGGAGTTTAATTCCCCACGTCTGATTTACAATACTTCTCTTATATACTTTTGTATAGTAATTTAAATTCATTTTGATGGTCGAGAATATTAAAATAATTTAAAACTGACCAATGATTGTAAAAATTTAAGAAAGGACGCTATTGGTATAAGTTGAAGAACCACTTGAAAATGTATTTTAGGGAGATAAAGAATATTATTCAAGCTCAAAAGTCCATTAAACAATACACAATTGAAGCAGAACAAACACGACCTCTAAAACATCAGAGGTAGGATCGGGTGCCTAGAGGAGTGAGTATCCCTCTATCGATTGATTGAACCCGCCGTTTACACCTTATCGTGATCGGAAAATAACAGAAGGAGAGATAATTTCCATATATATATATATATATATATATATATATATATATATATAATTTCAAAAATAAAATCAAGAATCGGTACAGTTTTTGGTATATTTAAAAGTGTAAATCCAAAAATATCATAATACAAGTACTGCAAGCGCTTTCACCATGTTCTGCTCTTCAGGCAGTTATACAAATGTCAGGTAGGTTACCTGGTAACATCAAAAGCATACCGTTCATTGTGAAGTCATAATAGATCAAGTTAGCGTTAAGTTGGCGTATTAGGTGATGTACAAATCTTGCACTAATTTTCGCACATTATATAAAATATACAGTATCATTTGCGATTAAGTTTGGGTTTAAAGAGGTTGAAAAAATAGTCTTCCTTTGCCAAACGTATATTTTCGTTTTCATCTGGAAGTTTATAAAATGGGAAAATCTTAAATATTCCTTTGCAACATTTTGCAAAATGTTCACAACACGGTGTAATACGCACACTAGGGTCTTCAATTTGTTGTTTGTGCACAAGAACCCTGGCATATGGCACGCCAAATTCACAAAAATGAGCTAAACGTAGTTTCACAATTGATAAAGTAGGTTTATAAGCTGTAAACTACAGTTTGCAAACCTTAAACTATAGTTAACGATTCGTTAAGTATAGTTTTCGTCTGCAAACCTATATTTAACGGTTGTTAACTATAGTTGACGAATGCTAATCTAAGTTTATCTGTCATTAAAAAAACGTTAACCATAGATTTTGTTGATAAACATAGATTCACGTCTGTAAACTATAATTTAATAATAATAATAATAATAATAATTGGATTTATATAGCGCTTTTCTAGCATAAATGCTACTCAAAGCGCTTTACGATCATTAACTATAGTCAAGAGTTGTAAACCATAGTTTACAATCTTGATACTGTATTTATCAGATAATCTTTTGCAATCGCAAATGATTGTTTTCGGTGTTAAGTATAGTTTACGGTTATGATGCATAGATTATCGCGTTAACTATAGTTTACAGATGTAAAATATAGATTAACGTCGTTAAATATAGTTTATAGTCCGTAAACTATAGTTTACAACCGATAAACCTAGTTTATCGAGTGTGAAACTACGTTTTGCTTATTGATGTGAATTTGGCGTGCCATACTGGCATTAAGTTTTCCCGCTTGTCCAATATAGTATTCTTTACAGGTCGGGCAGATGGCACAGTGGATGACGTTTTCCGATTTACAGTTCACTGATGAGTTGGTACGAATTTCCATTCCCGATTTAAGTTGGATTTCATCCCCCTCTTCTAAATATGTACACGGTCTGCATCTCGGATCTCCGCATTTTTTAATGGTTGGAATTTCCTCCTTTCTAGTAAAGCTGGCCTTGGTTTACAGTTTTTTAAAGATTTGGTGCTTGTCGTCGACTATTTATTATATCATTTGGTTGAACTAAAGTTTTTATGTTTTCCGATTGTTCTAAAATGGGATAAAATCTTTTAGCGTCCATAAGGATGTTTCTGTTCCTTGGGTTATGGGTAACCCAAAAGGCTATTTTCCCGTCATCATTGGTGTCGTCTATATGGCGTCGAATCCTTAGGTCCTCTATTTGAATTTCGGATGCCTTTTTTATTCCAATGTTTATTAGATCCATTGGATAATTTTGTCGTCGTAAATATATTTTTGATTCTTCCAGACGTCTACATCGTAGGGTTTTATCTTTGTGCGAAATTAAACGGAATATTACGTTTTGTATGGGATGGTGGCACGATCTAAAATTCAAATATTGGTGCATGTCCGTGGGTTTACAGTACAAGTATAATAAGTTAATATGGCCCATATCTTCTTAACAATTTTCTCAATTGCCAAAATTTAAGGTCTATAATTTTTATTTTTAGTGATCAATATTTTTTATATTAAGAATCAAGAGTTCCTGATTGCAGATAAAATGTATTAGAGACTCATAAGGTCAGTTGCTAAATTACTTTTGCGTACAAGCAATGCCATCTTTTCGGCGGAAAAAACAACAAATTCTAGGTACTTGTACTTCTTAATTAGATCGTCAACGCCCAGTGTTACATTGTATTTAAACAGTTTCTTTATTCATCAATTGCCACTGCGAAGATGGCGATTCTACAAGTACTATGCTTAATACTCTCTTTGCACTTAAACAGAATATTTGCCCTAATGCCTTTAACAGAAGGCAATAATTCTATCAAAAATGGCTTGTTGCCTAAAACCGTAACCAATAAATCGTCAAATGTATTACAGGACATTTTGAATCAGGAAAGTTTGGTGCGCTTCTCTATGGTACAAAAAATACAAAGTTTAGTGATGGATGCTACCGACAGGAAAACTGATAGTCAAGTCATAAAATCGAAACTTAGCGAAGTAACAAAAGACTTAGGGAATTTGGAGATAAAATACCAAGTAATGAAGAAGGGAAATGTCAAACTTCAAGAGAAATTAAAAGCGATTTATGGGTCAGTAAATGCAATTAAAATATGACGTTGGAAAAAATTAAAACACTGAATAAATCGCAAACTATCACTTTTGAAAGCAATCTGAAAAAATGAAAGCGCCGTCCTAAAAAATGATGACCGTGCAATAAAAAAAGAAATTCAGGTTCTCAGAGAGAAAATGAATGAAATAAACGTGACAATACTGGACAGTGTAGACATTTTCGAGAGATTGAGAAAGAAGAAGGACATTCTGGTTCCTTACAATGAAACACAGGAGGATGCTGACGTTGTGAATGAACTGAAATTGGTATCGTCAAAAGGTATAAGGCATTTCTTGATATTTAAGCATGGAATTATATTCAAAGGTAAAATGAATATTTTTTCCTCAAGATCTTATGAAAACTATTGTCGTTCATCAGTCAGTAAATTATACTACATGCAAACATGTCGTCTGTACAGATTGACTAAGCTGAGACTCTTCCATCACTGAATCTTACATAGCGTGCACTCAAATATCACAATACTTAATCTACTTAATCCTTTTGTAAATGATTATTTGCACACAAGTACTCTGAAGTTGAAATCAAAGAGATGCTTGAGTTTCTGATTGACAATATATAAGCTATGTGGTTTTTGGAGACCAGGTATTCCAACAATCCATTGAATTGAAATTCCCATGAGTACCAATTGCGCTCCGTTATTTGCGGACCTATTTTTATATTCATATGAAGCAGAATTTGTGCAAAATCTTATGCGTGTAAAGAAGAAAACACTTACTGTGGCCTTCAACTCGACGTTAAGATATCACGACGACGTATTGTTAATTAACAATGGTCATTTCCATTCCTACGTCGATACGATACTTCCTGGTGATGAAAGATACCAGAATTTGACACATCTGTTTCATACTTGGACATCTTACTTCAAAAAGACGTTAATGGTAATCTAAAAACCAAGCTCTATGATAAACGTGATGACTTTAACTTTTCTATCGTCATTTTCCCTAACTTATGCAGCAATATACCTTCATCACCTGCATACATATATCAGTTGATTCGATACGAAAGAGCATGCTCTACGTATGAACAAATTCTAAAACGAGGCAAGTTTATGAAACAAGAATCTAAACAATCTCGTTTGAAGTCACCATTTCGTAAGTTCTATGATCGATACAATGATCTTGTCAGCAAATACAATTTATCAATGAGTCAAATGCTTGCTGACGTTTTTCATACTTATTGTTAGTCCATCATTTATACACTGCATGAATTGAGGACGGATTTTCCCCTTATTTCCCGATCATGACAAGGAGCACACGGTGGGTATGACCTGTCGGCAGGGGATGCTCACTCCTCCATGGCACCTGATCCCATCTCTGATGTTTCGGAGGTCCGTGTTTACTCTGCTCCTATTTTATATTGTTTTATGGACTTTGAGATTGAATACTGTTCGTTATCTCCATATCCTTCTTTCAAAACTTACAATAAAAGAGAAACATTTTATCTCCATATCCTTCAGTGTTCAAAGTACATTCATCTACATATATTTTTTAGTTCTTTCAAAGAATTGCTGGGAAATTTTACGGAAATTCCCGAATAGGTTTCGAAGAGATGGATTATACACAGTATTCATTGCCTTCGAAGAAAAGCTTGTTTACTGTGACATGAGTACAGATGGAGGAGGGTGGACGGTAAGTACAACTTGTTATAAAGTTAAGAAAATGATACATTCTCAAGGAATTTCCTTTCACTATAATATTTTTTCTTTGAGTACTTATCAGTGTAAAAGGTGAGTAAAACGAACAGTGATTGATACCAGGTATAATAAATCCAGTGAAAATAAATGATTGATTGATTGATTGTATACTGTTTAACGTCCCTCTCCAGAATATTTCACTGATATGGAGACGTCACCATTGCCGGTGAAGGGCTGCAAATTTGGGCCTATGCTCGGCACTCAGGGCCATTGAGCAGGGAGGGATTTTCATCGTGCCACACCTGCTGTGACATGGGCCTCGGTTTATACGGTCTCATTCGAAGGACCGCCCCATTTAGTCGCCTTTTACGACAAGCAAGGGGGTACTGAGGACCTATTCTAACCCGGATCCCCACGGGACGAAAATAAATGAAAACGTGAACATGACAAAACAAGGATGCCTGGAAACGCTTGAGGTGGAATCAGCTGCCTAAGAGGAGTAAACACCCCTGTTAGAGTGGACTTACCCGACCTTAAATGTATTTACCATAAAAATGGATAATACATATAGCAGATTTATTATAAAAACAATAATCTTACTCATGATCTTACGTATGATATGTAGAACTTGCGAGAAACGTAGGTTAAAAGCTAAAATTCTTGTTAAAGAACTTTTTTTTATTAGTAGCTTGTCTTGTTGTCTTGTGGAATAGTTTTTTTTCTGAATTTAAAATCAATTTTAAAAAAGATGACGTCTTACGGGTAATACAAAGAAGACAAGACGGATCGACATACTTTTACCGGAATTGGGAAGCATATAAACAAGGCTTTGGGGATCCATCTAAAAATTACTGGATCGGTAAGGTTTATTTCTTCTTTAAAAAATAATAAAGAATCTTTATTGGCGTTTTATATAAAAAAAATTGTCTACACTATTTGACTTAATTTTTTAATACATTTTCTTGGTTTAACAGTATACACTTATTTAATGACTACGAGGTAAACAGTCAAACTGTTGTCCCGAGGTAGTGGGGAAGACCTGGGAAACTGTTGCCCGAGGCCTTTTCCCAGGTCTTCCCCACTACTGAGGGACAACAGTTTGACTGTTTCACCGAGTAGTTTTATTACCTAACCTATTATATAATTAATTAAATTGTAATAAAGACACACAAAAAATCAATGAAGAGTTTTAACAACCGTTTATTCACATACTTGTCTATTAATTAGCTGAACACACAATATAAATATTAAATTAATATTTAATAATTTAAAGTTTAACTCAATAAATTGATTGATTGATTGTGTGTTTTATTTCAATTCAATTAATTATATAGCAGGTAAAAAGTGATGTCGAGATCATCAAAACGCTTGAATATCACGATGACTCTTTAAACAGTCAACAGTTCATTCTGAGGCCCGGTCAACAGTTCGACTGTTTAATGATCACGCAAAAACATAAAATAAATCGTGAAACAGTACAAAATGCCTAATTACAATTTATATAGTAGGTTAGGTATTAATCGAAATTGCTTTAGGTTTCTTTACATAGAATGCATTGATTTTCAATCCATTCGAGACAATTAATTAATTAGGTACTAGTCTAACGAGAAATAGAAAGTTATGATCAAGAAATTCCTTTGTTTTAAATATTCAATATCAACAGAAATCTTTGATAAGATGAAACGAGAGATCTCTCGGTTACAATCCCATAAGGGTCACATTGGTTTTGTCTTAAGAAAGGTTTTTAAAATATTTCCGTCTTTTTTTCTCACTTATACTTTAGAGTCCAAATAGTGAACCTACAATAGTTCCATGAGGACATGATCATGAATATCCCGAACTTTAATCAAAAACAAGATGGCAAGATTCACTATCAATATAAGAAACGCATAACAAATCTTCAGAAAAAATTCAAAGAATAATTTTACCTAGTTCAAAAGTTGATAAAATTTCTGTGTTGTAAGTACTGGATATAAACATTTTTCATTCTAAAATATTGTACTGTTTGATATTTTTATGAGATTCATTTATTGTCCAAACCAAAATAGAAGGCAATTTCAGCTTTCTAGACATCAAAACGCATTCATTCTGGTGTTAAATAAAATAATATTTTTGCTTTCTATATAAAAGGAAATGACGCAATATATGAGCTGACAAAGAACAAGGACCAGGAACTCCGCCGCGGGTTGAGCTACAAGATTTTGATGGCGCTGAAGCATACGCTCAGTACTCCACATTTTATGTCGGGAATGAAGACAGTAAATACGTACTTACTGTGTCGGAGTATTCAGGAACCGCAGGTGTGTTTATTATAGGTTTACGTGTTATGCTGTTAATACTTTCCTTTCCCTTTATTGATAAAAAGTTTAACAATAGCGTGAATTTTAAATTCGAATTATAAAATTCATAATATTAAAATATAGTCAAAATATTGATTGTGATGTCACAGGTTTTATGTGAATAAAATAAAGAAAATATGCAAGCGGAATCAGGTGCCAAGGAATAGTGGGTATCCCCTGTCAAGGGATTGCACCCACTGTGATCCCCTGAATTGATCAAGTTGACAGAGAAGTGCTGCGCAAATTTTGTTCAAGAACTTTGACGTTTCTTGATGAAATACATCACAAAAATACGTCCCATCCATTGGTTGTTTTTACAAAAAGTCATTATAATGACAGTAGAATTTGTTTTAAGGAATCTCTAAACACTAACAGAAACTGTTTTTTGGACTTGGAGAAAAATGTATCATATAATGGTGTGCACATTGAGAAGTTTCATTTGTAACACAGGGTACGGACCTGCCTTATTTCTGCAGGAAAAAAATGTTCTTAGACTGTGGACTATTTGTGATCAGAAATCACTGTTGTTTACAAACATTAGGAAAATCAATGTAAAAATGAATACGCCAGTTTCGAGATTGTAACTCTCCTGTGATAGAGGCGCAAAAAGTATCCATTTCAGCATGGAGGTGGGACAGTTTGCTTATGTATACAAACGTGCATAAATAAATGAACGATGGCTTTTAAAATTTATTTAATGTTATAGAAAGATATAGATGTTAATCAGTGATGCATTTTATGACTTAATCAAGCTCAACTGTGTTTATTTATAAATCTACTTTCAATTATAGGGTACTTGAAAACGAAATAAACGTCGTGGTCTTCATAAAAGTAAAAGATTTTCTTGATTGTACAAACATTCTCTAAAAAGTTAGTGGGTTTTTTGAAGTTATAATAAGGTAAAAAAAATCAATGTGTCATTTAGATTGCCGACATGTAATGATCAGATTCATGTTTACCATATTTATTAGAGGTCCATATATCTCTTCCCACGTCTGAAAAGTCTCACATCCACTGAATTTCTTTTTTGTTCCGATTTTTTTGCTTTACAAAAATGACACCTTTACTTTAATTCGGTTGTTCTCGAGTTGAACAGTGCAAACTTACAAATATATAGTTACGATAAACCAGCATATCGATGATGCGATATATCCAATAATAAATATCTGTCCCACCTGTTTGTTTACGCGGCAACCAAACTGCCCTCCTTAACGAAAGAGCGCACCAAGGGAGATAATTTCGAAACTTGCGTATTCAATAATTTATTCGTGGTCTTACTTAATGGTAAAAATATTCTGATCTTTTACAAATCATGTAATTAACTGTTAATAACATTTTTTAAAATCTTTCTTCTAAGGGAGATGACTCTAACTGCATAAAGCTACCCTATAAGTCGAGCTCTTTAGTGTGCAGTGTTTAGAGCTTCCTTAAGAAAAAAAATTAAATGGGTTGTTAAAATTCTCCTAACAATAAGTATTTTTTACTAGTTGGCCTTGGTTTCTAGTTTAGAACTGCGTATTGAGTCAGTTGGTAGATAATTATGAACAATGTCATCATTATGCAAGTGATGGACCATTGTATAAATAAGTTCACAACAGAAAAGCTGAAGTCATGTTGTTTGTCGACTTTTATCGTCTGTAGTCTAACATCCAGATATAAAACAGATTTGAACGCCTATTTGGCGTCTTTTAGTTCAAATTCACCTTAATAGATATAATTTACGAGTTTATTTGTCGATTTGCCTGAACGTCGAGTTGAGGGTCTCTGCATATATGATTTTTCATGAAAGTTGTATTTTAAGATTAAAGTTATGTAAATGCTGTACAATAAATACACAGGACGATATTTACTACAGTTTTGATATTTTACTATACGATGTGGAGCCTCGTTTAACAGGACGCTTTGGTCCTATCCAATTTGTCAGGATATGTGAAGCGTACTGATACCTCAATTACCAGTTAGGACAAAATAACGTATAAAAAATTTCGTTCCAATGAAAAATTGCTCGGATACTGAAGTATCCGAATATCTGGCGTCCGGATATCTAAATGTCCACTGTATTATTATTTTTTAAAAAGCAAATCGCATCAGTTAACTTCACGGTTACTTATATCTTATTCCAGGTGACAGTCTGACTGGTCACAGTGGAATGAATTTTACGACTAAAGACCAGGACAACGACAGGAGTAGTAGTAACTGTGCTGTATCATTTCACGGAGCCTGGTGGTATACGGCCTGTCATAGCTCAAATCTTAACGGGCAGTACGTCAGTTCTAATGTGACAAGTGCTAAGCACCCGGTATGGTATAGCTGGAAAAAGAGACACGAAGCACTCAAGAAGACTATGATGATGATAAGAAACACAAACTAAAGTGAATCAATAATCGTCAGTCTCAAAAAGCATATCGACAGACTAAGCTATGTTTTTTGAGTCACATGATACACCGGAGCCTATGTGGCATCTTAAACGGGAGGTACAGGAGTCTTTTGACATATATGTCTTAAATACAACATAATATAAAAAAAATGAATGTTTTCTTTCATACATGTAAATATAAATAAAAAAAAATTAAGCGTTTAAGCGGGTTATGTATTTTTTCTGAAACAGCTACGACAATATTTCAAATACTAACAACTAAGAAATCATTTTATTGTC